TTCCTTACCTGTCAAAAGATATCCAGGGCTACTTAGTTCACAAAGTTCTTGTTAACTTATGAAGCATTCAGAATGTGCCCATATGCATGCTATTTTAGTTGGCCCTAGAGAGGAGGTGATGCCACTGAAACACTGATTTGTTCACACACACATGTTTAGCACCTTTTATGGGGCAGCCGCTGGGCCAAAACATTAAGTAGACCTCATTTCAATCCTCATAATCGTCCAACAAAGTAGGTATTATTATCTCTGAGCTCCAGTGATGGAACTGGCCCAAGGTTACACAGCTGACCTTTGAATTAAGATCCAAATTCCTCCTGCACCCATGATCTGCAGTCAGTCCCAGGACGATAGCCTCAGTCACTCTCCTCGCCTCTTCTCCATGAACACTTTCATTGATCTGAGAGTTAGAAGAATTTCCCTTTATTGCAGCCTTCCTCTGATGCATCAGTACTTGCCTGTATCTGACCCCCCATCCCCCCTTGCTCATAGAATCCCCCTCCAGACTTACTTGCGGTTTCTCACTGGCTGGTAGTTTTCTCCCTGGCTGGTAGTTTTCTAATATAAAAAGTGAGACTAAGGGTCCATGAAACAATGGGTTTTAGACACACAAGATACCAAGCAGCTGAATACAACAAATGCCGGGTCTTTATTTGAGGAATAGAAAGAGAATCTGACCAGGAGTCACTGCGGGTTAGGTGAAAGGGAAAATAAAGTAAAACCAAACAGCCCCAGGAGAGAGGAAATGGCCAAGTTACTTCTCATATATGCAGAAAGTTCTAGGGCTTTTTCTAAAGGATTCTGCCAGGACTTCCCAGCAGCAGTTGGTTCACTCTTGCTGCCTGTTTTCCAGTGATTACAACATCCGGATATAAATGTAAAGCTCGGTCCGGGTCTGAGGCCTGGAACTCCTCCTTCAGGCAGTTTCCTTGAGGTTTTCAATGGAATTTACAGTCGTAAGAGTGTTTGTGAATAGACAGTTCAACACTGTTGAAGCTTCTATCCTGAGTTCCACAATTTGTACTAACACTCCACAACCTTCTGTGCTTCCTGCATCCCCCAGAGTAGGGTAGGGGCTTGAAGAGAGTTATTTTGAGGGCCAGTAGCTATAAGGAAATTAACAGAAGTGCTTCCTCATTCATTTTCAGGGGCGCTGGGAGTGATTCCCTAGCTTCAGTCCAGGTTGGGTTTGTCTACTGAAGATAGCAGTAAACTTGTATCATCTGAAATAAAGGTGGGGCTTTGCAGCAGGCTCCTCGTCAGGCTGTGCCCCATTGCAACCACCTGCTTTAACCACTGCTTTCTGCTCCTGGCTCTTGGTTTTACCACCATTTAGTTTACCTAGTCTTACTGATGTGCCAGAAATGTTCTCTAAGCTTCTCCTCAGATGCACCTTAAACCTTCCACTGAAACATTAGTGCAAAGAAAGGTAGTTTGGTGAAAACCAGTGAGGAATATACATTTGCCCCTTTCATTGGCCATTAGGAATTTATTTCCAGTTAAACAAGCTGGGAAATGTAATTAGGCACATGGCTGATGTGATAGCCAAGTCTGCATGCCAGAAACACAATAGGTTCTTTAAAGATGCCAAGGACTGATATTATGCATCTTATCTTGGAAACTATACACTTCACAGTTCTGAGCCTCCTGTGAGCTGCCTCATATCTTCAATCAAATTATTATATTCCAGAAATATGCATAAGGGAAATGATTCTACACATTTTATGGTGGGTTGTTGCTTGTAGCAGTAATTGAAGTACCTTTTCCACTTATGAAAGTACTAATTTTATTTGTTTTTATTGCTTTTCTAGATGCAATTATTTATTTAGTGTGCTTTGGCTTTATTAAATTATGTTTACTATAGGAACATCATAAAAATGTATGAAAACAACACATCAGCCAAGCCAGCCTGGTGACCTGTATTGAGAGAGCTAGTGTTATTTTTCATATCCAAACGTAATGGAATAACTTAAGAATAAACAGATAATCTACACTAGAAAACAATGCAATTTCAAGGTAATGTAATAAAACACCTGGACAATATGATTTCATAAATCTTGGTGCTAAAATTTACATGAGTTGAGTTTTGTGGGCTTATTTGAGGACACATGGCATTTCTAAATGGAATCATTATAGTGGGAAATGTAATTAAACCAAAAAGCAAGAACGTAAACAGGGTTTTTGTTGCTTGTAAGATATGGATGACTAAGAAGCAATGTAAAGACTTTTGGTGTCAAAAGGCAAGCAGAAGGCTCTCATCCCTATAAATGATCTTAACTTTGAAATTGAAAAATTGCTAGACGATTTGTCTAGGTCACTTGGCAGTCGCCTCCAGCAGAGGTGCTGGCTTAAGGAATTCTTTGTAACTCTCCTTGTCTATTACTTCCTGTGCCTTTTAGGGTGCATCATCTCAAAAGAAAAGAAGTGGTTTTGCTTTTGGCATTCTTTTTAAGAAACTTAAATTGAATGAAGATGGTTTAGTTGTTTGGAATTTCCACCAGATAACCAGGAAAGAGGCATACAAACTTTTTTTAAAAAGTAAATCAAACAACAACAAAACCAAAGCCAAAACCAAAAGACCCTACGTCTGACATCCTTATAAAAAGCAGAGGTGCTTAAATGAAAATGACTGTGTGACTTTAAATTCATGACCAACTTTTATTTTTCTAATTACGGATTAAAATTAATTAATGCATTGTTTAAATACGTGTGCCTACTACAAAATCCAAAAGGTAGCAACAAATGTACACAGTGAAGGCTCAGTCTCCCTGCAGCTATTCAGGTTACTTCCCTAGAAAGAGCTATGGTTAACGTGCTCTCCATTTTCTGAATGAGTGCCAAGAGTTCCCAGGATTTTCTAAGTATGTAAAATATGTACCCACATATTTACTTACATACCTGCATACACACGTATTTACACAGGATATGATAGTGAAATATAAAGTACACATATAGCTCCTCCTTTTTTCTTAAAGACTGCACCATATATTGTGTTATACGAATGTCCCCATCTCCTACTGATACCTATTTAAGTGTTTACAGTTATTTGCTTGTACCAAGAAAGATTCCCACTCATAGTAAAGGAGAGAACCTCTATGTTTTGTCAACCTTTGTTTTTTTTTTTAATGTTTGGTAACTTGAAAGACACATAAATGATGTCTAAGTGTGACTTTAAGTCTCGGTTTTCTGATTATGAGAGGGTGAGTATCATTTCATCTGTGTCGGAGATGCTTGCATTTTTCTTTCCCATGAACTGCTGGTCCTGTCTGTTGTCCTTTGCTGAATTTGCTAGTGGAAACTTGCTTATTATCTTTGTTGAATTGCAAAGCCCTTTAATATGAGCTGTAAATATTTTCCTCATGTTTTCAGTTGTTTTTTGATTTTTAGAGATGGTTTTGCGATGTGTAGCATGAAAATATACACACATCTTTTTTTCTATTGCTCCTGGGTTTTGTGTCATATGTTAAAATAATTTCCATACTTGGAGGCTATTTTTTAAAAAAATCCCCACCTATTTTCTAGTACTTTTATAGGTTTATTTTCCACATTAAAATTTTTAATTCATTTGGAATTAACCTGGGGTGAAGAATGATATAAGGATGTGATTTTATTTTTTTTTTCTTAAATGGCTGTCCAAGTATTCCAACAGCATCTATTGAAAAATAACTTTTAGGTTTAATTTTTAATATTGCTAGATTTGAATAACCAATTTTTCTTTATTTTAATAATGTTCCTTAATCATATTAAGAAAATATATGTCTACACCTACTTCATTCAAAAATTGTTTTAAACAAAAATGTGTTTTTAATTGTATTAAGTACCTTTCTAGCATTTATAATCATATGCCTTTTCTCTTTTGATCTATTACTATTATGAATTATATTAATAGACTTTTTGATATCAAATCATCTTTGCATTTCTGGAATAAAATAAACTTGAATATGATTATCTATCTTTTAATGTACTTCATTCTCTTTGAGTAAATTTAACTTAAAATTTGTGTTAATAAATGATATCCTCCCTCCCTCCCTCCCTTTATTCCTTCCTTCCTTCCTTCATTCCTTCTTCCCTCCTTCTTCCCTTCCTTCCTTCTTTTTGACAGTACATTCAGATTTCCTGGAGTTAATGTTTATAATTTCTATTTCTCTGGAACATTATGCATTTTATCCTGTATTTAGAAGTTTTTTCAGTATATTCAGCAAACTAGTCTTGTTTAAAAATTTTTAAACTTCCTTCATTTAGTTTATATCTCTTATTTTTTATTTTATTCACTTACGCTTTTTTCCTTTTATCTTGATTAATTTATTTTTCAGTTTATCTGTTTTACTGGTGATTTATGCAGTCTGGGTTTATTTCTATGAAGTTCTTCCTTCTGCTGTTCTTTATTTTGTTCCTCTTTTTCTAACTCCTTGAGTTGGAGGCCTGACCCACTTAATTCATGTTGTTTAGTGTAAGTATTTCAGTTTAGCGTAAGGTTTTCTCCCAGCACTGCTTCAAATGTAGGCTTTAGGTTCTGGCAAGGAATATTTTCCTTAGCATTATTTTCAAGATATTTTGAAATTATAGTTTTATACTAAGTCATTTACAAAAATTTCTAGGTGGTGGCATTCTAGTTTTGTTATTTTAGAATTTTTTTTGTTTCCATCTCCACCTTTTTATTTCCCTTTTGGTCAGAAACCATTAGATACATTGTTTTTACTCTTCAGCATTAAAGTTTTCTTTTAGCCTTGTGTTTAGTCATTTTTTTGTGAATGTTTCATGTTAACTTGAAAGCAAATCACAGGATATCACTGTAGGACATAGTGCTCTATGAAGACAATGAGATCTATCTTATTAATTATGTTATTGGATACTATGTAGCCTCTTAAATTTCTTGTGCACTTATCCCTCTCTGAATCCCAAGATGCTATGAACATGCATGCTTGATGAATGAATGTGTGATGTAGAACTCCTGTGGTCAGCTAGAATTGTGTTTTGTTTTGTTTTGTTTTCTTTTATAGCCAAAGATTGCTGAGGAAAACTTAACCTATGCCGAGCTGGAGCTGATCAAACCCCACCAGGCTGCCAAAGGCGCCCCCACCAGCACTGTCTACGCCCAGATCCTCTTCGAGGAGAACAAGCTGTAGCACCGCATCCTCCTCCAAGGTTCTATTTGATGCCTGCCACCCAGTGATTTATGAAGCCTTGGAGACAAAACCCTTATTTCTGTATTTTCACTCGTGCCTTCTGAGTGGTGGAGAGCCCCCTTTTCAGCTGCATTCTGGGTGCCTTTGAAGAGGTACAAGGCTGCTCTCCCCAAAAGAATAGGGGCCACAGATCTTGACAGATCTCCCAGGACAAGATGCGCCTGGGCCTGAGCCCTGAGTGTAAGGACTCTGATCCTGAGAGCAGCCAAAGAGATTTTCTGCTGAGCCAAATCCCTTCACATTTTCCTCCTCTTTCCCCAGGTTTTCTTTAAAATCGTTTTTAAATCTTAATTTTACTCTCTAGTCTTCCCGTATCTGTGATACAAGCTCATAGTTTATAGCTAGAGGAAATGCCATTATGGACCCAACTGTAAGATGGCACATATGTTGGTTTTCCAAGGATCAGATGGCGTTGCCAGCACCGCCTGATTGCCAGTACCGCCTGAGATGACATCTCTTGTTTTAAATGGATGCACTGACCCTGAAGATTAAGGCCAGAGGGGCAGACTGACTAGAAGTATAAGGTCTGTCTCTGAATGCCATGGTGCCCACCTATGAAACCCTGAGGTCGCAGGACAAGAAGAACAGCATTCTAGAGGGCTTTCATCCCTTTGGCAAAGTGGACCTGTAGTGATAGAGAAATGTACTCTCCGAGAAGTGCTTACTCACCCTTTTCCAAAGGAGCAGAGGTGTTGGCCATCAGGAGCCACACTGGAGCGCATGGGCCTCTTCACTGTGTGCCAAGTTCAGTCACCTCTGATTCAGCGCTTGAGGGTATCTGCTGCCGGGTGCCCTCAGGGTAGGAGAGTGGGAAGTACACGCCAAGCTGGAAAGTGTATTCTGAAGATCTTCCTCTTGCCAAGTGCCTTGCCCATTGCAACCTTGTATGTGAATTCTAATGGGTTTGAATGGGGGTCAGGGGTGCATGGGGAAGTTGTTCTGTGGACCTGTGGGACACAGGGATCTTGGACTCACTGGCAGAGAATCCATTCTGGAAGCATCATCCTGTCAACTGCGTTGTTGAGGACATTTCTTGATGTGTGAGTGTAGTCTGGGTGGCTATTTACTGCACACTATAGGAATCGTTTGACTATGTAGTGGACCATTTGTATATGATAAATTATCTATTTTAAACACAGCTGGGATATGAGTTGTGCCTCTATATAGCTGTGTGAACTTGACTGAGTTTCTTATCACCTAATGATCTCAGACTCCATGTTTGTGTAAAGATGACTTAACTTCCCATAGAATTCTTGAGGGTAAAACGGGGTAATGAATCTTGCCAGGTCCTAGAAACTGTAAATTGCTACATAAATGCTCTGTGTTGACATTCATGCTAAAGCCAGTCTGCATTTTCAAAATGAAAATTTCTTCACTATTTAAGGCTTTCATTGCAATAACTTTAAAAAGCAAATATTTGTCCACCAACTTAGCCCTACAGTAATGTTCCCAAAGACTCATGAAAGTTTATGGTTTATTGGAAAGGATCCAAACTGGAAGCAGATATTGATTTTCTGGGAGCAAACCGGTCTGCCTTTACAAAGTGGAAGTTCACCCTCTCTGGATGACACCTGTGTCTCCTTCCTCCCTCTCTGCCAGATCTCAAAGGCAGTGAATAAACCATGCAGCTTTTGAGGAAGAAAGACCAATTTGGAAGAATTCACTAGAACTTCTTTGAGCATCTCTTTGAGGGGGGAGGATATCTGGTTAGCACATCATTCATATTATAATTATCACAGGGATTTTTAATTTTATCATGGCAGTGTTCTGACAGATGTATAGTGTTTTGAGGGCAGAGGATGATCTCCTAATTTGCCCAAAGAGCCTTATGGGTTAGTGGGGCCCTGGGGGTGCCAAATGGGAAGGAGAGGGGGCACATGAAAAGGAAATGGTGGGAAGAGGACAACGGGCCAGGGGGTAATATCTTGCCAGGCCCCTTAGGCCTCTGCAGAATGGAAATGGACTTCAGTCACCCTCAAACCCACCCACTTAAATCCAAGGAGAGCTTAGGGTTATTATACATGGACAGGAGCACATTCTACCAAGAACACAGGCTCTTGAGAGCTGGTAGCTCCCAGTTAGAGTCGAACCAATCACTGTTATAGATTGAATCCAGCCTCTTTCTCCCAAACTGTGGTGATCACTGCACAAATCCACACTAAGGTATGTGAATGGGGACCTGCAGTTTATCTTCTCCTACTGAAAATGCTGCCCAGGGGAATCTTGGAAGCTATGGACAGCATCCAGGCAGAGCTTGTCCCACTGTTATCTCCCGAAGCAAACGCCCAAGCTGTGCTCAGAACTGGAGGCCATGGATGACTTGTATCTGGTGCTTGTTTGAGAGGATACATTGACATTATTGCCATAGTAAGCTTAAAAAATGTGCCCACTCATTCATTCTTTATCCGTGGACCACTAATCATGCATTGTCATTTCCAAAGATAAGGGAAAGCATATCACATATCGTTGACATAGAAATTAGGGAAAGTTTGTCAAATTTGTTTTTACTATAAGGCATCATCGGTAGAAACTATATATGAGTAATTTTCAAAATGGACCATTGCTTATATGTTTAAATGAAGCTAAAACAAGTATGAACCCATTGCTTAGAGTGCAGTGGCTTCTTTCAGGCAGAGAGCAGATGCTCTCAGATTTGGTGGTGAGTTTTGGCCTTGGCATGGTTGGCATGGAGTTATCACAGGAAGCCGGGAGGTATGAAGGGGCATCCACCTGGGTGAAACTGTCCTGCCAAGCCAAATCCCTGAGGCCTGCCCTGAAGCAGCTGTAGTGGAGCAGAGACCTGGGATTCCTTAGAGTCACCTCTTTACGAATGTACCGCCACTCTGTTAGCTCATGGGGAAAATAAGGAAAAACCAGGCCTCCCACCTCCTGACTCTTGTGAGAGTGAAGACAACATGGGGCATTTAGAAAATACATTTTTAATGTATGATAATATGGGCTGGTCCACACAGCAATAAGCCCAAAGACCCCCTCGCTTTGGGGATTATTCATGGCCCTGCTCATCACAACCTCTGATATGCATGACTGTAACCTAGGCTGAGCCAACAATGGAGCTCATGCCAGAAATGGTCCCAAGCATGCATGTGGCCCCCTAGGATAATCAAAATCCTGGGGAGAAAGAAATCATCTTTGCCTTGGGCAGTGAAGCTGGAATGACACAAATCTATCTGTTGCCACATCTCCTGCCTAGTGGAGAAGCCTTGGAAGGCAACAGACACTGAGCAAGAAGCAGGGAGGAGAATGTCCTGGAACGGCAGGACTCCACCCCGAGTCCCTAACATCCCCAGACTCTTCTCTTCCATAAATTCTCTAATTACCCTGCTGTTTAAATCTTGGTTTTGGTCAAGCAAGTCAGGTTGCATACAGAATTTGAATACAGTATGCATCAAAGTTGCTTCCCAGGACAGGAAGCAAAACAAACAAAAAAACACACTGATATCAGTACCCAGGGTGCCCAATTAGGGCACACCCAGTGGCTGCATTGCAGCCTGTGAGCTCCCGCTGAACTGTGCGCCCTGCTGCCTGAGTGGGCCCCGCCCTGGGCTTCTCAATGGAGAGCTTTCGATGGGGGACTCCAGGACTGATGCTCTCCCTAAAGAAGGGAGGCCTCAGGTTTGGAGAGGGACACCGTCAGGACCAGAGGAAGACTGAGGGGCGCTGGCGCCAACAGGTGGAAGGGAACAGCGTAGTAACACAGAAGAGCCATGCCACATGCATGCTGGAGGAAGTCTTTCTGTGTCAACCTAAAGCTTAGGCTGGCTTCCATGTGGAACATGACATCTTTCCAGTATCTCTTATCCAGGAGACTGCAGTAAGACCCAGGTGACCCAGCTCTGTGTCATTTGGAGCCCATTACAAGGTGAGGCAGCCACATGGTGGGGACATTGACCCCACCCCAGACCACACTCCCATCTCCATACATAGGATAGAAACTGTTCATCAGGAAGGAAAACCAAACAGAAATTCATGGTCTAGGGGCAAGGTCTGCATTGCACATGGCCATGCTGGGTTGGAGTGGCCGTGGGGTGTCCAGATAGATGGGCACGTAGACTAGTGCTTTCTCAACCTTAATGCATGCACAAATCATCGCGATCTTATTAAAATGTAGATCCTGGCTGGGCACGGTGGCTCATGCCTGTAATTGCGGCACTTTGGGAGGCCGAGGCGGGTGGATCACGAGGTCAGGAGATCGAGACCATCCTGGCTAACACAGTGAAACCCCATCTCTACTAAAAATACAATAATAATAATAATAATAATAATAATAATAATAATAAGCCAAGCGTAGTGGTGGGCGCCTGTAGTCCCAGCTACTCGGGAGGCTGAGGCAGGAGAATGGTGTGAACCCAGGAAGCGGAGCTTGCAGTGAGCTGAGATCGCGCCACTGCACTCCAGCCGGGGGACAGGGCGAGACTCCTTCTCAAAAAAAAAAAAAGAAGATCCTGGCTCAGGAGGTCTGGGATAGGACCTGGGATTCTGAGTTGCTAAGAAGCTCCCAGGGATGTTCATGCTTCTGGTCCCTGAACCACACTTTGAGTGGCAAGGATGTAAACTGTTAGAAATATGGATCTGGTGCTCATTGCAGGAAAGGGGGTGTCCTCAGGGCATAGGTCACAACCGAAGCCCGGACAGTGGGCAAGATTCCCAGGGAGAGGCTGCCCGTGCACTGAAGAGGGGAAGGGCTGGGCCTGAGCGGTGGGGAGCACCCATGCTGGCAGGTACGCAGCAGGTGAGGAGATCCAGGTGGAGATCAGAGGACAGTGACAGTCACAGCAGCAGGGGAGATCCAGGAGAAAGCTGCGCTTGGGGGTCTCTCAAAGGAAGAAGGGCTCTGTGGTGTGAACTCTGCAGAGGGCAGGGAGAATAGAGGTTGAGCCTTTGCTCATTCTGAATTAATTGATTACTCATTTTTAAAAGTGCTTTCTTTGGGAAAAAAGCATTCCCCAGTGCACAAGGCTAACAGACATGGGCGCTGAGCTGTGTCTGGTCTGCTGAGTGTATTTTCTTCAAAATAATCCTCATCTTCTCAAGGGGTGGGGATTTAGACAAGACTCTTCCTGAACACACAGTGTGGTGGGGAAGGGAGGCTGTGGAAGTTTTCTGTTCCTTCTGTTGTCACGGGTGAAAGATGACTTGGTGCCCAATTTCTAATAAACACAACGCTATTAGCGTCACTCCAATTTAGTGTCTGATTGTTAAATGTTAATGTACTGTACTCTACAGTCTTAAATATAATTAGAAATGTTTACAGCTTTGGTTAAATGCACATTGTTCTTCCACATTAAACTTTATTACAAGTGTCCTCCATCAGCAACGAGGAGAAAACTCATTAGTAGGTGGTCTGTATCGGGTTCTGGGCCGTGCTAAAGGAATCAGCCTTCTGTTTTCCTTTATGACAGTTTTTCTAGATGCTGGGAGCAGCCAGGGTGATTACTTCCTGTATATGTGTACAATTAGTACCTCAGACTCCTGGGTCTACAGATGGATCTCAGAGAAGCCAACATCACCCAGGAATTTTTATGCAGACGTTTGCGTTGTGTGTGTGAGCGTCTGATGTTCTCCTCAGTTTTCTAAAAGGGGTCTGTGGTCCACAAAAGATGGAGACTTTAGAGAGGGTCCTAAACCACTGTCCTGCCCACAATGGACCCAGAGAACATCATGAGGAAGCTAGGCAAACTAAGGAGATGGAAAGGTACCTGCCAGCCTGGTGACCTCCCAGCCTGGCAACCTTCCAGGCATTCTAACCCTAAAACTGCTCCTTGCACTAAGCTCTGGCTCCAGGAAGCCTCTCTGCTCCCACCCTCACTCCTGTTGGCTGGAGGAACCCTGACCTCTTGCAGGGCTGATCTTTGGCTCAGCTAAGGATTGGGGCTACCCAATCCTCCCCTTTTTGGGATCTCCTCCATCTCTTTTCTCCCTCAGTCCATGTGTGGGTTCCCAGGTTCTCACAGTACCCCAGTTCTGAGTGCCCTGTGACTGCACTCCAGCCCATTTCAGAGTCAGTTTGGAATTCCTTAAAATGTTGTAACTGAAATCGGATTCTCCTGCTCACTGCTTGGAAGCCAAACTTGAGAGACAAGATTTGGTGGAAGGAAAAGCAGGCTTATTCAAGAGCTGGCAGCCTGAGGAGCTGGCAGACTAGTGTTGCAGAGACCATCTCAAGTCAGTACAAATTCTAGGCTCTTTTTATGTTAAAAACATGACCAACAACTGCTAACATCTGGGCACCAGCGAGGGTCCAGGAAGTTGGAAACTCCTTTGTCCTTGGTCAGATCACAAAGCTCCTATAAACCTTCAACGAAACATAGTTGTTACATACTTCTCCTTTAATCTCAGAGTTAGTTTCAAAAACTACATGATTACTGTTTTTGCGTTTTATCTCAGTGCCCTAAAATTATCCTCGCCTACGTGCAGGAATGGGTAAGGGCTCCTTTAATTGAAAATGGAGTTAGTCGTGTTAGTTCTTTTGCTCTTCCATTCTTACAATGTCTTGTTTCTGGTTCTCCTCATTCTTCCACCTCATCAGGATTCATGTCTAGTTTCCTTGGGGTTCTCCTTCACCATGTAAGCCCTCATCTTTTTTGCATCTTCAACTTCTCCTTCCATCTCCAAAATGACAAGCGTTTCTCAACCTGCACAGACCCCTTGCAAGCCACCATTCTCTGGTTCCTTCTCTCCACAGCCTGGAGTCTACACTGTCTGCTCCCTGCTGTCTGCCTCTTGCCTCTCACCCTCTGCTGGCTACCTTTGCTCCCTCTCCCCTGAACTCAGCTCTGCCCAAGCCCTCTGGGGTTCGCTGCTGAGCGTGTGTTCTCTTGCAGAGAATGTCTTATTTCTGATCACCATTCAGCTGTATCCTGAGGACCCCACCTCCACAGCCCCCGTGCAGCCCTCTCCTGAGCTCCACGTCCATCCATGACCTCCCCTCTTGCAGCTGCCTCATGACTCTTGGAAGTACACACCCAATACTGAATGCATCAGAGCACCCTGCACCCCTCGATACCCAGCTATCCTGGTTAGGGTTCTGCTGCTCACCCCATGGCTAAAGCTGCAAATCTAGCATTGGAGATATGGGCCACCGGCAGCAGCAGCGGAATCACTGCTGACTTGTTGAAAATATCAGGTGCCTGGCACTGTGCCAAGTACGTTTTCTGTCTTATCTCATTAAGCCAATGGTACTCTACCCCAGTTTGCAGATGAAGAAGCAGAAGAGCTCAGCTAATGGGCCCAGGATGGCAGAGCTGGAGCCCTCCTCTCTCCTGTCCATCTCCCCTGCATTCCGGCACCTCCCCATCGTCTCCATTTGCACAGCTCCTGCTTCCTGTCAGCGCCGATCACCTCTCTCATGGACCACCACTCTGACCCCTGACCTGTTCCCTGCCATTTAACCCATGCTCTGACATGCAGACTGGCTGAGTCACCCCTGCCCGACATCCTGCCCTGACTGCCCTCAGGATGCCCAGCACCTCAGGGAGTAGCAATGCCCCTCATACCTGCTTCCTGCCTACCTTTCTGGTCACACCTCTTGCAGTTTCCCCTCTGTGCTGTTGACCCAGGCCTCGGTGGCTGTGAGCTGCCACCTTGGAAGCCCAGCCCAGTGTGGTGTGGAGCTTCATGGTTGCAAGAGTAGGCCTGTGCTGGGCGTGGGCGTGTCCCATGGCAGTGGCAGCAGTGGCCATGATCACAGCCCATGGTGCTCTGGGAACAGGCCTTGGGACTGGTGAGATCCCCATGGGCAGCCAGCCACCCAACCCTGTCTTCAGCAGCATCTGGAACTGGAGGAGCAGGAAGTCCAGGTGGGGTCCCATGCTCTCCCAACCCCCATCACCACTGACACAGCTGCTGGCTGTGACGGCAGCCCCTGTGGCAGCAAAGAGCTGGCAAGTTCCACGGGAAGTGCCTCAGCCCTCAAGAGGCAAGCAGCAGGTGAGCATAACAAGGATTGACCCCAGGGATTCCTAGGAAGACACCTTCTGGGCATTCTTTGACATGTTAACGGAGGGACAATCAAAGAAAGGGCAGGACCAGCTCTGGTGAGGGAGTGGGACTCAGGAGACTCTGTGCAGTGGCAGATATTATCTCTGCCCCAAGGTAGCAGTGCAGGCCTTCCCAGGTGCCAGAAGATGGTGACTTGGTTTCCAGGAACATGGCCTTTCTATAGAATGTCCTCACTAAAAGAGACACTAGAGGTTGTCTACTTAAAATCCCCTTCTGTTCCCCACCGTTTACACAAAAGACCATGATTTAAAGGAGAGTTTAGGTCACAGAGATCCAGGGTGGACATCAGGATCTGGACTCAGGCTTTCTCTGCCCCTTCCATAGCTCCTCATGCCCTGGCTCTTGTCTGTGGGCTCCTCGCCAAACCCTGGAGGACAGCCGAGGCCCAGCCTTCTCCAGCAGGGCTGGATGGGAGGATTCAGTGGAAGGTGGCAGCTGGGCGCCTCCCGCTGAAAGAAGCAGGCTCAGCCATTCCGGGGGTGGGAACTGTCTCCTAGGTAAGCTTAGCTTGCTCAAGGGACGTTTCAGAGCTCAATGTCAGTTCCATAAATCTTTGCTGAGCTCCTACTATGTCAGACACTGAATTTACACAGTATTCATGTGTTCACCTAGTAGTAGGCAAAACATCCTATTATGGTTACTGTTGCCAGAGTGTCTTCTGTTTGCCAGACATAGTGCTAGGGACTGCATGGCAGCCCTGAAAGGCAGGTGGCATCATTGCTACTGGATAGCTCTGAGAAATGAGGTTCAGGGTCATCATAAGAGATTTGCCAAAGGCCACACTCTTAGTTGCAGAGCTGGATTCAAACTCAGAGTTTCCCAGTACCAATCCTGTGTTCTTCCTATTATGGCATAGGAAAAATGAGTTATATCAGAACCAAAAGAGATTCTGGTATAAGAACCTAATGAGAATTAATCCCAAGGTGCCCAGGAAACTAAAAGGAGGAAGTGTCTGTCTGAGTTGAGCCCTGGTGGAGGGGCAAGAATCTGCCAGGAGGCAGAGGGCAGGGACCTTCCTGGACTATAAAGACCAGCCAGCCCTGATCAGGGAGTGGGACTCTTCTGGGAAAGTGGGCCTCTTCTGGGGAAGTGCTAGGTCCCAAAGAGCAGGAGTATCTGGCCCCTTGGTGGCCAGCCCACCTCGGGGACTGTAATAAACAGTGGACCCAGAAGCTACCTGGGAACTGAGATGGACCAAAGGGATTTCAAGTAGTGAACAAGCGAAGAGGGCTCCGGTGGCTTCACACTGTCTCTCCCAACCAGGTCACAAGGTAGTCTTGTCCCAGGATGAGGAAACTGAGGCCATTTAGAAGTTAGAATACATGCTACAGTGAAAAGGATACTCTGGTATGCCTATGGTGCAGCAAAAAGAACAAAAAGATTTATTGCAGAGAAAAGTTCTGTACCTTAAGACCTCGCTAAATCCGGGCATTCTTCACACACTCATCCCCAGTGAAGGGGGCTGGAGGGCCCAGTTACTTCTAGCTTCTATTTGTTTTATTTTGACAGATTGGGCATCTATATGCAAATTATTGTCCCCACGGTTGATTCCAGATATCTGAGTAAAGATGGAGACAGTTGCTAATGTACAATCTCCTGTTTATTTCCAGCTGACCATTGACAGCACGTGACTGGCTGGAAGAGATGTCAATGAGGTTATTCACCCAGAGTTTGGAACTTCTTGAGTTAACAGACATTGGTGTGCAGAGACGCACTGTTTTCTTGACCCCTCAACCCTGGAGGCTTCTCCTGTCTATCTCAATCTGGACAGCAACCATGCTACTTGGGGCTGACACCACCTTCTCGGGGCAATTCCTGAAAACCTGCAGAGAGCCTTGGCTTCCACCTGTTCTTCACATGCACCTGCCCTCCATCATAGCTCTGTCATAGCTCAGCTGGGTTTGTTGTTGTTGTTGTTTTGTGTCTCCTCTGCATTCTTGCACATTCTCTTCCTAATCCAACCTTGCTCCAATCTCTCTCTGTTTTCATTTCATTCTCTGCCTCTCCCTCTCTCCCTGTCTCGTTATTCTATTTGCAAGTAAAACGATAATGTGCGTCACATGCAGGTTGTAAACTAACCGAGTGTTCCAAGCTGTGCTCTCCGGCTTGGGCACCAGACTCAGGACTGGATTTCCCAGAAGGGGCTTGGTGTCTGGAGTTGTCACGCCATTTGCTTTCTCTT